GAGTTTTGCTGAGGAGGTATACAGTCCGAGTGACTGACATTTCTTGTCAGTAGCCAAGTTGGGACAAATGGTGGAATGCTGGCTAGGGGCAGAGCTTTTGGTGATACCAAGGAGATGGGATTGGGGTCAAAGGGATAGTGACCTTGGCGGGCTGTGGTGGGGAACCTTGCTTAAATTCTAATTTTTTCAATGAACAAGATCCAGAGGCGTGGCATCAACTGGTCTGATTTTTGAAGAGTCAACAGAGGTTACAGGTGCTTGATTGACCGACTAGACGTTTGTTGAAAGAATCTCAGTGGAACAGGGCTTATGACCTACCAGACGTTGTGGATGACCTACCAGACGTTGTGGCCCAGAAGGGTCGGAGAATCAGAATACATCTCCAGAAGAGCGCCATATGCTAAGAATTTTGCTCGGGATCTTGGGCATTATTGAATACAGGATGATAGAGCAGCCAGCTGTACTGACGTAGTTGGAACAAAAGGAATCGAAGAAGTTTGACGAGAATCATAAAAGCCAAGGGCCTCTGTGGGACTGAAAGTGCTGTGTGCACGGAGGACAGATAATGCTGCGAGTATGTGGACAGAAAGGTACTGCGCGTTACAAGGACATAGAACGGAGCTGATTAGCGTGTCTTGTCGGCTGTCGATGGAATGTGGTGAAAAGACAATATGATCTGATGTCTTGCCTGCACGGATTAGACTGGGGAGCAATCAACCAGACGATACCTGGTACATCGGCGAAGTCGATCATATTACCAGGAGCAGGCGGTATTCAACCCCCGCATTTAGACAACCAGAAGCGTCCAGGAAGGAACAAGGAGGGGCGAGAAACAGAAAGAGAAGCAACTCGAAACAGAGCTGTACTGAAGGCAGCTGAAAGATTACAAGCAAGACATCTCCATCTGGGGGAACTGCTTATTGGCTTCACGAGTTCCATAGATAGGCTGTCTTATCTGCTATGGACAAGGCTAAAGCTTCTCCATTTGGACAACCACACCAGAAGCAACTAGTTGGACTTGGTCGTTTCGGGAGGAGGTTCCGACGTTGACCTTTTTGGAACAAAGAACTACCGTCTGAGGGGCGCAAAATCATAACAAACCCCTCTACATCTCTTTGGAATGTAGAGACAAGTGGTTGCCAGTGGTTTTTGTCGACATAGGATCCGCCATTAATGTGTGGCCAGCCAAGACGGCATATGTAATCCGGGTTTGAAGGCCCGCGGGACTTCGTGCCAACTACCAAGTGATCAGGAGCCTATTGATAACACAAGCAGGGAGGATGGGGACTGTCCAAAATTTAGACCCAGGTTGGTCCAGGCAACACAAACATTGAAACATGTCTTGGACTCCCGCAACCTTAACCTACTTTTGGGGCGGACCGTGGTTGCACTAGGTCCAAATGGCAGTTTCCTTTTCCACCTTGGCATCAGATGTTGAAGTACCCTCACGGGAACGGGGGTTAGCTATTGTTTTTGGGAACTCGTCAAGCATCCACCGTCGGGAAGTGTCTACCACCAGTCTTGGGAAATTGAGCCACGGCATGGAAGATGTGTTCTTATCGGGGTTTACTCTGTGTGAGGGCTCGGGTCGTGCAGAACATCTTGGCTGTTAATAAGGGGGTGTATGTCAGTGCGCAATCAGATACCTAATGAACAAGTTCAACACATCCCTGGGATGGGATGGGAAAGAGTGGCCGAAAAAGGGCATCGCTGTACGCCAGTACCGCACAAACCCGCAACCTTTGGTTTGGGTTATCTGTTCCCACAAAGAGTGACTGGGTAAAGGAAAGTAAAGACATGGCCGGGAGAGCCAAAGCAAAGGAAGGCTTAGGGAAGCCTATGAGCTAATGCACCGACCCATTCTGGGTACCCTAAAAAAACGGACGCTTTGTCCGGGAGGGGGAGGACTTTCCATTTTGTGGCTTCCTAGAGCCGTGGATAAACGAGGAGAAGCACCGTGTGTCAGGGTTTGAGATCTTTTTCGACCTGCAGTTATCTGGGGATGATGTTGCCGAGGGGCAGACAGACCCATCGGCTGAGGTAAAGCACTATGGGAAAGTGGATTCTAAAGACACCGAAGTTGAAATGGGGGTAGCGCTGGCATGTCTACTTTCAGATTCTCCGATCGAACAGAAGTGCTTGGGGGATAACTTCTCGGTATGCATGATCAGGAATGAAACGGCTGCGGGCCTACCAGCAAACATTTTGGATGCATCTATCGCACCCTCTCTCATTTGGCAGTCTGAAGAGGGATTTTTGTCAAGCAGCACCGGGTCAGGTAGTGAGCCGGAATCTGATTCCACCGAGTCTTGTGAGTCGAAATCAGGCTCCAGCTCGACTGAGTCTGAGTCCAGTATTCCTGGGGGTGACAACCCAGATGCCACAGTCCTGTCTAAGTCGTCTTTTTCTTTCTCTTTCAAGTCTATTGTAACCGAAGAATCGGACGATTTGGAAATGCTTAATGAGAATGATGTGGCTGTGGTTTCTGAGTACTTCTCTGTGCCTTTGATTTATTGCTTGAATCAGCACTTTCAAAACTTTGATAAAAACGACGAGGAAGGAATTCCTCCAGTTTTGCAACGATTAATTGATCAAGAGTAGGAAAAATTTGTTAAACCTTTAGTTGATGAAATCACTACTGTGAATATTGGTACTGAGAAGGACCCGCGGCTGGTCCAGATCGGGTCCACGTTGTCTTCGGAGGAACGCGAGTGCTTAGTCGCTTTATTAAAAGACTTCAAGGATGTTTTCGCGTGGTCCTACGAAGCCATGCTTGGAATCGATCCTGAGATTGTACAGCACCGGATCCCTCTTGACCCCGAGGCCCGACCCGTCAAACAAAAACTCAGGAGGATCCGCCCTGATTGGGCTCTCAAGATTAAAGAAGAGGTCACCAAGCAAATTGACGCAGGGTTCCTGCTGGTATCCGAATACCCGACTTGGTTGGCCAACATCATTCCAGTGCCGAGGAAGGATGGTAGGATTCGGGTATGCGTGGATTTCAGGGACTTGAATAGAGCCAGTCCGAAGGACGATTTTCCCTTGCCGCATATCGATGAGTTAGTGGACTTCACAGCAGGGCATGCTTTGCTTTCATTCATAGATGGCTTTTCGGGCTACAACCAGATAGTGATGGAACCTAAAGACCGAGAAAAGACTGCATTCACCACCCTGTGGGGGACTTGTTGCTACAGAGTAATGCCATTTGGGCTGAAGAACGCTAGAGCTACATATCAACGGGCCGTGACCACAATATTGCACGACATGATCCATAAAGAGGTTGAGGTGTATGTGGACGACATGATTGTCAAGTCCAAAGAAAGAGAGGGCCACTACACCGCCTTGCAAAAGTTTTTCCAAAGGATCAGAGAGTTTCGGTTGCAGCTGAATCCTCAGAAGTATACGTTCGGTATTACAGCAGGGATAATGCTGGGGTTTCTGACTACACAGAGAGGTATCAAAGTCGACCCTTCCAAAATCAAGGCCATCCTAGAAATGCCGCCACCAAGGACTGAAAAGGAGGTGTGAGGCTTTCTGGGTAAAGTGCAATTCATAAGACGGTTTATCTCAAAATTAACCTTGACTTGTGAACCACTTTTTGGCCTCCTGAAGAAAGGAAAGAAGTTCCAATGGGACGGCCGATGCCAAGCTGCTTTTAAATAGATCAAGAAATACTTACAGAACCCACATGTGCTGTCACTGCCTGAGCCGGGGAAGCCGTTGATTTTGTATCTTTCAGTGACTGACAGCACAATAGGTTGCATGCTCGCGCAGGAATCAGAGGACAAAGTGGAGAGAGCCATCTACTATCTGAGAAAGAAGATGCTAGAGTATGAGACTCGCTACACACCGTTGGAGAAGGCTTGCTTAGCCTTGGTATGGGCTACCAGGAAGCTGCGGCACTACCTGTTAGATCACTCTGTAATGTTGGTTTCAAGATTAGATCCCATCAAATATCTCTTCGAGAAACCGGCACTTACGGGTAGGCTAGCTCGTTGGTTGCTGTTGCTTTCCGAATTTGATCTGAAATATATGATGCGCAAGTCAATCAAGGGAAGAGCAGTAGCAAAATTCTTAGCCGATCATCCAGTGAAAGGAGGTGAAGCAGTTGAGTACTTATTCCCAGACGAGGCCATTTTGCATATCGAAGACGAAACTTGGACGATGTACTTTGACAGAGCATCAAACCAGTACGGGTATGGGATAGGAGTGTTGCTGATAGCGCCCGACAATTCCCGTATCCCACTAGCATTCAAACTCTGGTTCAAAGTCTCGAACAACGAAGCAGAATATGAGGCATGCATTGCTAGTTTAGAAGCAGCCCTAGAACTAGGGGCAAAACGGTTGGACGTCATCGGGGACTCGAACCTTGTTGTATCTCAAGCTAAAGGAGATTGGAAAGTCAAAGAAGAGAAGATGATAATGTATCACCAGACCTTGGACTTGTTAATTC